CTCTGACGCCCGCAGGGTTCCCAGTCTGGGTCTGCTCTCTGACGCCCCCAGGGTTCCCAGTCTGGACCACAAAATCCGAAGAAGCATCTTTCACAGACGGAGGCGACGATGGCCTACAGTATAAAACAAAGACAAGAGTTTGTTTTTCTAACAGGATGATGGTTTCATAAGAAATAAATTGTTAGAAAACTGATTCACACACAAGCATCTCCAGATGTGGATACATTTTATAAAATAAACTCAAACAGCTCCAGTTTTGTTTCATCCGTTTCAGGAACTTTGGTTCTTGTCAACGTGCATTTTGGTGAATTCTTGTCTGGCGTTTTTGTTTTTCTTTCTGCCAATCATCAGGATTTAAAATGTGACGGACAGTTTGATGAGAAAGTCACGGAGTTTGATGGTTTCTGATATTTTTTCTTCATCTGATCAACCTGCAGTCACTTCCTCTTGCTTCCACATCCTGAGCTGTTTGCTACAGTCCATGGACCTTAAATAATCAACAGATGCTGAAAGGCTTGAGGGAAACAAAGACTAATTAAAATGAAACATGCAAAGATTATTACTCTTTAAGATTACCACCCAATCCATAGTTTTAGACTATCTCTGTAAAATTAACAACAAATAATTTGTTTGCACTGTTTTGGTTTATATTAAAGGCAAGCAGTTCTAGTTTGATCCGTTTTTAAAATAAATAAAACGTTCCTTCAATGAATTGTACCAACAAATGTTTACTCGACTATTTCCTAAATTCAAAGTAAACATGATTAAAAATATTAAAAATGGATGAGCGTAATCTCATTTAGGATTTACTCAAATTAAACTTAAACCCTGAAAATGTCGCAGGGGGAATAATTTAATTTAAGGACACATGCTAACAGGAACCGGTTTCTTAATTCACTTCCTGCAGTGAAAAATTAAACGACTCGAAACAAAAGTTTAACTCGATATGACGCATCGCAGAATGTGGGTCACGTGAGATGTTAAAATAAAAACAAAATTATAAATTACGCTACTTGCATGACAGACCCAGGAGGCGTGTTTCTTCCGCGGGCTTGTGTTTGCTAATAAAGTTTGTTTTGCACCGCACTTCCTGTCTGACGTCACATATTGCTTGTGGGCGGTTCTATGCCCAGTTTGTTGTCTTGCAGGCAAAGGCGCGCCTGAACGTCGGACGGCAGGTGTTTCCAGTTTTACCACGCCACTTTATTTAAAGCACGTCAGGATTTTTTTTGCCATCTTATTTTAATTTGTTAAAAAATATAATAAAATTTAAAAAATCAGTACGCCTCTTTTATGATTGTCCATTGTTGTCATCATTCTTTTTTAAAATCAGGTCTCTCTTGTAAATGAGTCCAGAGGCTCAATGGGATTAACCTGTCTAAATAAAGGTTGAATTAAAAAAAAAAAAGGAAAACGACAACAACTAAAACTAACATTGTTGAATACAGACAGGTTAAAAACAAAGTTTTGAAGATATTACTTTGAACTAAAAACTAAAGTGCATGAATATTTGCAAAATACAGGATTAGAAAATTTGGGGCGTTTGAAAAGTTAGTGAGTGACATTAACAGTCGGTTGAATATTTTGCTGAAAACAGTATTGCCTAACCTTTGCCTTTCATATTTAGCAAAAATAAAAAGTGGTAACCTTACACAAATGATCGTTCAAACCAGCAGTTATACCGGATCACCTCTGTTGTTGAGTTGGTGGACTTCCAGATGTTTGGTCTGCTCAGCTTCGACCGTTCCAAAACTTTAAATCAACAGAGTACTTAAAAAAGTTATCTCAATTACAATTGAGATAACTTTTTTTTAAAATGAACTTATTTCTTCTTCTTTTGGCTGCTGTTTTCCTCAGAAGTCTTCACAGCGAAAAAACTTGCAACAAGACTCGGCAATTATATATTTTTTAATTAACTGCCCTGCCTGATGCAACCGTCGACCACTGAGCTGACAAGTAAGGGGCCCTGGAGCAGATGTGAGGTTCAGGGCCTTGCTCAAGGGCCCACAATGGGGCAGTTGCTTCACCTTTCTTGAACTTTGCAATGGTCAGGAGATTCAAACCATCAACTTCTCAATCACAGGTTTGACTTGAACTCTGCCCCACCACTCCCCCATGACATGGCAGTTGTTGGAGCTGTCGCCTCACGTCAACGTCACAGGTTTGCATGGAGTCTGCATGTTCTCTCCATGCTGCGTGGGTTTCCTCCCACAGACCAACAGCATGCTGGGCTGACTGGTGACTCTGAATTGTCTTGTCTGTCTGTTTCCCCATGAGGTTTGTATCCTAACGATACAAACAGACTCGTGAGCAAACGGAACAGACAAAAACATTTTCACCAGTCGGCCTCTGGCAGCAGTTAAAATAAAGAGACGACGTTCTAAATGAAGATTTGGCATTCATTGTTTAATTGCATATACATTTTTCACATTAACATTTTATACACACATTTTATAATCGTGGCTTGTTATAGATTTCATCCTCAGCTGACCGTCATATAAAATATACAATAGCTCTATATGTCATCATTTTAAAATAAAAAGCAGAATTTATAGAAAGGGCATGGACGACTGAAGTTAAAGGATGAACTCTTGGATTGTTTCTGGTATTAAAACACTTCAGTTTTAATACGATTTACATGAATCAAAACAATTCAAGTTAAAAATAGACCGTTTCCTACGGACACGATTATGGACGCAAGTTCATAAACGCAAAGATTAAAACTACATGCCAAAAATACAGGTAAAAAAATAACTGCAATGTAATAAATGTTGTCCAAGCAGATTCACAGGATATTTTTCAGATTTTAACTTTGGTGCTTTCAGAAAATATAAGACGGACTGTTCTACTAAATATTCATTTATCCAGCACATGTTGTCTGTGTCCAACCCCTCACGTCTTTGTCATGTTACTCAAAAATACTTTTTAAATCAACACAGCCTCACACAATAACACGGAGAGAAGTCGAGGTGCCGCTCAGAAAGACTAAGTGGAGATGGCAGCTGACTTGTTGCAGTGGATGAATAGTTGTTGCTCTTCAAAGTATCAACATGGTTCCATTCCCACTGATGTCAGAGCCCTGAAGGTTAACCTTCTCACAGATCTCTCACACGGGAGGCGGTCCGTTGGTGTAGCTGAGCATCAGGTAAAGGGAGTGAGCCAAGTTGTTGGTCTGAGCGCAGTAGTCCTCCTCCGACAGCGGCAGCAGGAAGGCAAAGACCACCAGGAGGAGCAGGAGGAGCTGGAGGGGCAGCGCTGTCCAGAGGACGCGGCACCAGAACGAGGAGCTGCGGACCGATGCTGGCTCCGGATCAGAAGGGAAGGAAGCGGATCCAGCGCCGCTGCGAGACCTGCTGACACATACAAACATTCACAGCCAGGCACAAGCAGAGCGTTAGTGACTGTCACCCACTTTACATCCTCCTCCTCTGATCTACACAACTGCATCACATCAATAAAACCTAATTATAGCTCACAACTAAAGGGATAGTCTGGTGATGTTTCAAGTGATGTTCTGTTAAATAGTATCTTATAGAGCACAGAGTATATAGAAAGAGGATTATAGCCAAACAGGAGCTGGTTTTCTACTGTTTTTCAGGTTTATAAAACTTGTCACGCTCAAAAATGACATGCTAGTGAAAGAGTGCTACATGATTATAATAATAATAATAATAAACCTTTACACTTTGCACGAGTCCACTTGTTTAGTTTGTCATTGTTTTCTCAGTTGAACAGCAGATTCATACACATCTGCTCACACAGACTCATGTTCGTGCTGCTGCTGTTCGGCATATTGTTTTTGTACTACTAGTGCAAAGTGTATTTTCAGTTTAACGCATGTCTTAGTTCATATCTTAGATCTTATTAGTATTTTTCTTTACAATTTATACTTTAGTTGGATGTAACTGGGACCCTGTGTACACAATTTAATTTCACCACATGTACCACATGCGGTGCGAACAACAAATAAAGAAACTGACTCTG